AATTTTGGAGAAAAAAAATAAAACCAACCAACCAGGACCCAAAACTCGATTATTTGGGGGGCCTCATTGGATCAAAAAGTCTCTTAAAAAAATGAAGGCCAACTCAGTATTCATTTTCCCCCCACCCAACTCCATTTAGGGAGGGGGGATCGTAGAAAAAAAGTTCTGAGTGGATTCAAAAAAGTAAACGCTGGATGAGTGAATTTGGGTGGGTTTGGGAAGGGTGGGTGGTTGATTATTTTTGAAGTTATGTGGTGACGGTCCTTCGGCCACAGATTTCAAGTCCCATGCAGCGTGGGCTGGTGGGGTGGGCAAGATAGGTGGGAAGGGGTAGAAGACACAAGTGGTTGGGCTGGTGGCTGCTGTTTTCCCTTTCCCCCCTCTCTCAGGATCCTTTCAAGGGCTTAGGTGGTGCTGCGGCTTCTTTTTTTCCTCGTGGCCGGCCTGTCTTTCTCCGAGAAAATTCAAACCTGGGATAGAAGGAACACAAGGGAGAAAGATATAATCAATACGGGTTGCTTCAAACACCCAAGTACCGTATCTGTTGTCTCCAAACACCCCGATTTCCCATCCCGGACACAGCCGCCTTCTATAAACCACGATCCTTAACAGAACTCAAACCTAACTCCCTCCCCAATACAACGATCTCAACAAAACTTTACCCACCGACCGACAAAACACCCAAACTTACCTCTAAACGAACCCCAGAATGGCGGCTGCCTGCTCGGGCTGAGTCTTTTATACCCGGACGCCGCCCAACGCGCCCAAACATGCTAGTGAAACGCCCTTGTCGCGAGACATTGTGCGCGAGGCGTGAACTCATTGGCCAACCCGAAAGACAACTCGCTAGCTGATTGGCTATCCTTCCTTCACCTTCGCTCAGCCCCTTCCCCGCCCGTTCCTTCTTCCGCCTCCTTCCTGGCCCCTCCGCTTACGAGCGCGTGACTGGAGAGTCTAGCACCTCCCTTTCCTCTACTTCCACCACTTCCGTCCTCAAGAACGCGTCTCGCCCTGGTTGGTAGAACCGGGCCGGCGCATGCGCATTGAGAAGATGTCGGTCGAAATCCCCTTCAAAATTGCTTAAAATGCAAGCTCTAAGTATAAGATCTAGAAGTTGTAGTGATTGGGTCGGGGAAAACGCAATTTTGAAGCCAAATTCGATTGTGACGCAGTTGAAATTGGCTTCTCCCCACAGTTCCCAGTTTACGCTTCCGTTCTGACGCAAGTGCGCGGCCGCCTCCCGCACTGCGGGCTCGCCCTTGGCCATACCCTAGGCAGGTTCTTGGAGCATGCGCAGTTGCCTTTCTGGCTATTCCTGCCTTTGGCGTACGTCAACATGGCGACCTCCGTTTTGCGTTCGTGGCAGAGGCTCCTTCCTAGCCTTTCGCCCTTCAGAGGTGCCTACGGAGTTCAGGTAGCTCCTTGGAGCACATTTTGTACAACCTCGACTTACTTATACTTTCTGTAGATCGTCGCTCCATTGCTGGGAATTCAGGAGCAGAGACTCTCCCGAGTCCTTATTATGCCTTGGCTGTTTAGGCAGCATTGCTTTCACCACTCTTCGCCTTCCCCTCACCCTTCTCAGTACTTCCCGGGTTTTTAATCCCCAGTCGAGGGAAAAGAGTTAGATATTCTTTTCCAAGGCACCAACTGGGCTAAAGAATTAGGTGAAGGATTGGGCCTCTTGGTCGTACACAACCAGCTCTTAAGTATATAATATTTAAATCTCTCATGCCCTGGAGTGTCCTTGAGTTGAGGGACACTAACTTCTACCTGCTGAGCTATCTCCCAGTAAAGCTAGGATACGTTCTCACGACCTGAGGACCAGTTCCTTAGCTCTCTTTCCCTAGCTAAATTAAGTTTTTGTTTTGTTTTGTTTTGTTTTAACCAGAGCATACAAGATACTAGTCTTCTACATTGAGGTTTCCCTCCAGCCTCATGTACTCACCGCACTGGAGGTTCTTGGTGGGGCAGGGTAGGTTCTTGGTGGGGCAGGGTGGGATAGGAAAGGTTGCACAGCTGCCACTCCCTAAGAGTGGTGACAGGGGTCACCACGGAGTTAATAACAGCTCTGGTAGCTTTAAAGCTAGCGTTAGGACTCAAGTTTGTTCCTACCTGTGGAATGTTGACCTTCAACTTTTGTAAGGCTGGGAAATTCAATGATTCAGGTTGGATTTGGTTGGAGACTCACCTATCACGCATCCTCTCCCCACTAGGGATCTTCCTTCCAAGAAGCTAGACATCCTCCCTTTTCCTTTCTTTTCCCTTTCCTCAGTACATCTTTGAAAGCACAAACACATCATGTGTGTCTTCTCAAATAAGACTGCTTCCCAGTCACCTATCCTACTTACCATCTCATATTATCTTCTTCAGGATCCAATCAGAGACAGAAAGTGGTTGTTGATGACTTCAGTTTTACCCCAGCAAAAATGCTATTTTCTAAATATATTTTTGCTTTATTCCATTAGTACGATGGGCATGTTTTTCTTGTCCCTAATGTGGGCAGTGAAACTATCAGGTCCTTTCCTTGAACTCATTTTCTCATTTATTGCCTTATTTATAGGTTCCTCTTCAGACTCTTTGCACCAGAGGCCCCTCAGAGGAAGATTCTTTGTCCCCAATTCCGATAACACCTTATAAGAATGAACCCTGGAAATATCTGGATTCAGAAGGTACCTCTGAATGGGAAAGGGGAGGATCATGTGGGGTCTGCAATAAATGGACAGAGACACTTCTGCTATCCCCACCAGGAATAACTTGTATGAGTTTTCATTTCAGAATACCAGAACCGCTATGGCTCTCGCCCCGTCTGGGCTGACTACCGTAGAAACCACAAAGGTGGAATACCCCCACAGCGGACTAGAAAGACATGTATTGTGAGTTTCTGAAGGTGGTACGTGGATGGGATATGGAATGAGGGTGAATGCCATAGACGGTGGCAGTAGCACATTTTCTCACAGGACTTTGAACATTTTTCAACTACTAGTTTCTTTTCTCCACAGCGTAGAGATAAAGTTGCTGGGAATCCCTGTCCCATCTGCCGGGATCACAAGCTGCATGTCGACTTTAGGGTAAGGGCAGTCTTTTCTCTAGAATAAGGATTTGGAGCCTCTTTTTAGTGCTAAAGAGATTACCATGGGTGCCCCACTCTTCTTCATAACCTAGCACCTCTATAGTCTATCTTGCATTGATTTTCTAGTAGTGTAAAAACATTCCTTTTTCCAGCTTTTTGTCCTCTACTGTGGCTTATACCAAAAACCCTTGTCTCTTACCTATGAATTTACAGTCTAAATTGCAGGTCAGAAAAATGTCTATTTTTTTTTTTTTAAGATTTTATTTATTTACTTGATAGGTCACCAGTGAGCAGAGAGGCAGGCAGAGAGGGGCGGAAGCAGGCTCCCCGCCAAGCAGAGAGCCGGATGCGGGGCTCGATCCCAGGACCCTGAGATCATGACCTGAGTCGAAGGCAGAGGCTTAACCTCTGAGCCACCCAGGCACCCCAAAGTGTCTATTTCTAATGGCTAAAGGTTCATTTATATCCATTGCAATTATTAGCAAGTAGATTGGATTAGTTGTTTTGTTGTTTTTTAGAGAGAGAGTGAGGGAGAAAGAGCACAAGCAGGAGAGGAGCAGGGGGAGTGGGAGCAGACTCCCCACCAAGCAGGGAGCCCAACGTGGGGCTCGATCCCAGGACCCCAGGATCATGACCCGAACTGAAGGCGGACACTTAACAGACTGAGCCACCCAGAGGCCCCTGAAATTGTGTGGGATTTTTTTTGTTTTTTGTTTGTTTTTGTTTTTTTATAGTTTTTTTGTCATGTTGATGTTTGGTAACAAGCCGATACTTAAGGCTGGAGAGCAAATGCATGAAGCAATAGACAGAGTTCAGTTATTTTTCAAAAATTATTGCAAGGATAGGACTTGCACCTTAAAGAGTTCAAAAAACATATAAAAATAATAATGGGGGACACCTGGGTGGCTCAGTGGGTTAAGCCTATGCCTTCGACTCAGGTCATGATCTCAGGGTCCTGGGATGGAGCCCCGCGTGGGGCTCTCTGCTCAGCAGGGAGCCTGCTTCCCTTCCTCTCTCTCTGCCTGCCTCTCTGCCTACTTGTGATCTCTATCCATCAAATAAATAAATTCTTAAAATAATAATAATAACGGGCAGGGGCGCCTGGGTGGCTCAGTGGGTTAAAGCCTCTGCCTTCGGCTCAGGTCATGGTCCCAGGGTCCTGGGATCGAGCCCCACATCGGGCTCTCTGCTTGGCGGGGAGCCTTCTTCCTCCTCTCTCTGCCTGCCTCTCTGCCTACTTGTGATCTCTGTCAAATAAATAAATAAAATCTTAAAAAAAAATAAATAATGGGTAAAATGCTCTTCTGAACTTGTGGTAAAGGTATTGGAGCAGAAGCTGAATGATTGGTCATCAGGGGAGTTCGAAGGAATTCGTAGATCAGTCAGCAGATTGGGATATCTGACTGCTCTCAGTCCCCTCCTGACACCACTGTAGATAACTTTTCAATCTCTCTCTTTTTTTTTTTTTTTTTTTTTAAGATTTTACTTATTTATTTGACAGGGATCACAAGTAGGCAGAGAGGCAGGCAGAGAGAGAAGGGGAGGCAGGCTCCCCACTGAGCAGAGAGCCCGATGCAGGGCTCGATTCCAGGTCCCTGGGATCATGACTTGTGCCGAAGACAGAGGCTTTAACCCACTGAGCCACCCAGGCGCCCCGGTAACTTCTCAATTTCAACCGTGTATGATTGGTTTAAAAGTAGAACGGCGACACCTGGGTGGCTCAATTGGTTGAGTATCTGACTCTTGATTTTTTCTCAGGTAATGATCTCAGGGTTGTGAGATTGAGCCCCTCATCAGGCTCCATGCTCAGCCAGAAGTCTGCCTGAGATTCTCTCCCTCTCCCTCTGCCCCTCCACTCACTCACACACATACACTCACTCTCTCAAATAAATAAATCTTTAAAAAAATCAGAATACGACCAGTTGTATACAGTTTAGAATCAATTACATAACCACGGAAGAAAGATTACAAATTGAATAGTGCAGATGATTCTGCTTGCTCTTCCACTCCACAAGCACATCTCCTTTTTTCCATGGGTGTTATCTTCTGTGATTAACCTGCTGCTTGGCAGTCATTCTACGTAATTAGACCTATAAAATGGATGTTAATAATACATATGTTACATACAGCATGCTATCGTAAACGTTCATATTTATACATGCACATTATAACACATAACATTTTCTTTTTAAAGATTTTATTTATTTATTTGACAGAGATCACAAGCAGGCAAAGAGGCAGGCTGAAAGAGAGGAAGGAAAGCAGGCTCCCCGCTGAGCAGAGAGCCGGATGCGGGACTCGATCCCAGGACCCTGGGATCATGACCTGAGCCAGAGGCAGAGGCTTCAACCCACTGAGCCATCCAGGCGCCCCAACACATAACATTTTTAAGTGATTTCAGGGATTGCCAACTGACTGTCCCCAATTTTTTGTGTGAGGGGCTGATTTTAGAACCTAACCCCTGTAGAAGATGGTTCTGTCTCTCAGTGACAGAATGTAGCGTGTGCATGAAATGGTTGCAAGGCCAAGAAATGGGAAATGTTTGCTGGAGTCTTTAAGAATGTGTTCAGCAAGGGGCGCCTGGGTGGCTCAGTGGGTTAAAGCCTCCGCCTTCAGCTCAGGTCATGATCCCAGTGTCCTGGGATTGAGCCCCGCATGGGGCTGTCTGCTCAGCAGGGAGCCTGCTTCCCTTCCTCTCTCTCTGCCTGCCTCTCTGCCTACTTGTGATCTCTGTCTGTCCAAAAAAAAAAAAAAATGTATTCAGCAAATTGATGGGGCTAAAACTGGGACATGAAGGAGGGTAGCATCTGGAGAGAGATAGGAGTTAAGGGTGTCTATGCACATGTGTAGGGATTGTGCACTTCCAGTTTCTCAAAGTCTTGCTGTTCTCCCTGCTCTCTTATGTTTCCCTACCACTTTCTCCACAGAACGTGAAGCTCTTGGAACAGTTTGTCTGCGCCCACACAGGTGTCATCTTCCATGCTCCATACACAGGTTAGCTTATCATCCTTGTCACCACCAAAATAGCTTTTCCTTAGAGCACTCCTCATTTATTCAGTTATACAACAGGTAACTTGATGGCCCTTACATAAGGCATAAAAAGCATGAATGAACTTTTTTTTTTTTTTTTAAGATTTTATGTATTTATTTGACAGAGATCACAGGTAGGCAGAGAGAGAGGAAGCAAGCTCCCCGTTGAGCAGAGAGCCCGATGTGGGGCTCGATCCCAGGACGCTGGGATCATGACCCAAGCCGAAGGCAGAGGCTTTTACCCACTGAACCACCCAGGCGCCCCATGAATGAACTTTCGTTGGAAATCTTGCCTTAATGGGTATTCACATGTGGACAAAAGGTATAAACAAGTACCAATGTAAGTAAGTTATCTAAATGTAATTCTTAGAAGTGGTAATTACTTCCTTTCTGTAGGAGCTCTTTGCTTTTACAAAAGGCTTTCTAGCAAATTGACTGTCCTATAAATTCTTTTTGCTGCCACCAATCCAATTAGATCTTCCAAATTTGGAATTATAATCCTAAAAATTAAAGATTACATCTATTCTGGGGCACCTGGGTGGCTCAGTGGGTTAAGCCTCTGCCTTTGGCTCAGGTCATGATTTCAGGGTCCTGGGATTGAGCCCCACATGGGGCTCTGCTCAGCAGGTGGCCTGCCCCCTCCACTTGCCTGTCTACTTGTGATTGCTCTCTCTGTCAAATAAATAAATCTTAAAAAAAAAAATTATGTCTATTCCTTAATGAAGGCCACAGGCCAAATCTGGCACACTGCCATATCTGTTTATTTTCATACTGTTTATAACTGCTTCTAGGCTACAGTGACAGAGTTGAGTAGCTGAGACAGAAGCTGTGGGACTTGCAGATCCTAAAATTTATGTGGCCCGACACAGAAAAAATTTTTAACCATGCTCTAAAGCAACATAAATTTGCAAAGAATAATCTGAATCCTCCATTTTAGGAATGGCAACATGATCAGTGGAGTTTGGTTCGTCAGGGAGTTTTACTTCTTATTTATTTATTTATATTTATATTTGTTTGTTTAGTCAGGGAGTTTTCTTTTTTTCTTTTTTTTTTTTTTAAAGATTTTATTTATTTATTTGAGAGCGAGACAGTGAGAGAGAGCATGAGCGAGGAGAAGGTCAGAGGGAGAAGCAGACTCCCCATGGAGCTGGGAGCCCGATGTGGGACTCGATCCCGGGATTCCGGGATCATGACCTGAGCTGAAGGCAGTCGTCCAACCAACTGAGCCACCCAGGTGTCCCTAGTCAGGGAGTTTTAAAGACAAGCTTTATGTCCAGGATGCTTGGATGGCTCAGGTCATGATCTCAGGGTCCTGGCCCCTTGTCAGGCTTCCTGCTCAATGGGGAGGCAGCTCCCCCTGCTTGTACACTTTGTCTCTGACAAATAAAATAAAACAAAAACAACTTTGCAGTGAAGCTATAAAAAGCTGAAGGAACTATGTTGCTACTCTCTCAGATCACCTTCTCTAGATCAGGAGCCCTTTCTTCCTTTACTGAATCTTTCTCAGTGGATTGTCCAACCCAAACCTTTAATTAACCAAACTTGCCCGTTGAATTACTTTCTGCTCTTGGAGGTTTTATAGTTAAATAGCTTTTCTATAATGGCTAGACCCCACTAAAGTGTTAATCTCAGCTCTCAGAGAGGGAGGATTCTTCCCATTGCCTAGGTGGGGAAACTGAGGCCAATCAGAGGGGTCAGGGAAGTAGGGTTATTAGGTAGAGCAAGTTATCCAAACCCAGCTCTTTATAACCATATAAAAGCAGTTGTATTCTCTATTTTACTGTGCTTTCTAGAATGAGCACTGTTTTCTTTTTCTTTGTTCAGGGGTCTGTATGAAGCAACACAAGAAGTTGACCCAGGCCATCCAGAAAGCCAGAGATCATGGTGAGCATGAGAAGGGGCCCACTGCATTTTTCTTAGCCATAAAGAAGGTGATTTAGGGCTGGAGGGTGGATATAAATACTTCTACCTGTCGGAGGAGGTGGCACCCAACATGTTCTTCCCAAGAATCTCTTTTCAGCACTCCATTGTCCCTTTTTCTCTCTCCTGAGTCTCTTACCTTGTCATTGCCCCGTTGTCTTAATCCTCTTTCCTTTTTCTTCCCTTAAATTCCTCCCTCCCATTATATGTCATTTTACATGTTGTTTTAACCCCAACTACCCTTCCTTATTTCTCTTCCTTTTTTTCTTTAATCCCTTAGGTCTCCTCAGTTACCACATTCCTCAGGTTGAACCTCGGGACCTTGACTTCAGTACCTCTCATGGAGCTGTGAGTGCTACTCCGCCAGCGCCCTCCCTGGTTTCAGGTGACCCCTGGTATCCATGGTACAGCTGGAAACAGCCACCAGAGAGAGAGTTGTCCCGCCTTCGACGGCTCTATCAGGGCCATCTCCAAGAAGAGAGTGGTCCCCCACCTGAATCAATGCCTGAGGTGCCCCTCACAACCCCAGCTGAAGCCTCCTCCACTGAGCAGAAGAGCCCCCAGAGTGCTCTGTAGGAGCTGTAGACTGGGAAGGAGTTAAGAGATAGTGCCTAGGAATTACAAGATGGGATTTCACTCTGGGGAATTTTGTCTCTATGGCCAATGGCAGGCTCAGGGCCTGGGAGAAGAAATGATTGCTGTTGAATGGAATAAATGCTTCTGAGGCTTAGGGGAGGGCAGGACAGATGTGTATGGGAAACCCCAGACTCTATATATTGTAAATAATAGGCTAAACGTTGTTACTTGCTTCAGATTTCTGTTAACTTGGCTTTTTCACAATAAAGCTGTATCTCCTGTTTCTTGGCTGAGTTTCAGATTAATGCCTTTTGTCCTGGGGGTGGGGGTGGGGTTGCCGGTGAATGGGTGCTGGCTGTCGGGAGAGGAGTGATCAGGCTTGAGCCAGACCAGCCAGTGATTCTTGGGACCAGAAATCACCATAAGTGAACAGTTGGGCTATTATGTCATGGTCATCTTTCTGGCCTCCTGTGTCCTACGCAGTGGCAGTGTTCCCACGATACCTAGCAGTTTCCTCGTTGTTTGTTGGGCATGGGGGG